ACATTGAATTTCAGGGGTTGGTTTTCTTTGGCTTTAGTGCCTTTTGAGAAACCAAGTAGAGATATGTGTAGTGCCAAGAGAGGTCTGAGTTGGGGCTGGCAATTTGAGCATCACTATTGGGTGGTGATAGGGAAGACTGAGCAGGGAAGAGGGCTGGTGTAGAACCCAGAGGGAGTGGAGCCGCCATGGGAGAGAGTGACAGAGAGGAGGGACTGGTGGCTGGTGAGGAGACTCGAGGAGGATGAGAGCTGAGAGCTGCCCTTTGGATTTGGCTCAGTGACCTGGTATGGAAGAGATAGGTGCCAGAGAGCAGAGAACTAGAGGGTAAGTGAGAGGTGAGCAGAGATAGCAAGTGCCCACGACTTCAGGAAGTTCAGCTGCGGCGGGGAAGAGCTTGGAGTCCACTAAGAGCACGAGGGAAGAGCTCGGAGGTAACAGTACGAGGACCCCCAAGGGCCAGGATTAGATAGGACCCTAGTCCTCCAAGGCAGCTGGCACCTGTGGGTCCAGGGAGATGAAGAATATAAGGAGGTTTACCCTGGCAGCCTCAGTGTTTCTGTGAAGGAGAAAAGGAACTGAGTAGAGGTCAAGAAAGGTACTAGATGTTTGGGCTAGCCACTGAGGGGAATGGTTGATGTAGCTTATCGCACCTCCCTCCCCAAAGTTTAAATGGATTCCACTATGGAACTGAATATATATTTTAGAAGCTTGTGAGCATTTTTGTGTTTCTATTAATTTTTTTTAATGTTTTTAGCTTAACTACAAGCACAGAGAAAAGACTGGAAGAATATACTCCAAAATGTCAATAGTATTTATCTTTGGATAACAGAATCAGAGGGTGTGTTTTTCCCTTTTAATATTCTCATCTATGTATTTTGTTAAATCATGAACAAGTATTACTTTGGAAATGAAGAAAGAAATCAGTAAGTTTGGTCTGCCAGGCTACAGTAATGTGGAAGTTTCAGAACATCCCTATGAACATATAGGGAATACTGGGCAGGGAGGGGGTGTTTCTCGGTGTAACAGCAATTGACAAAAATGTCTCATCAGGCCTTCTGACTCCCTGCCATCTGTCCAGAGTCATACAGGAAAAAATTCCTTACTATACACTACTAATAGGAAGTTCTGAAATCTGTGGAGATAAGCCTAGAAGAGCATATTCTTTTAAAAAAAGAAAAGAAAGAAAAAGACATCTGAGGCAGAGGCTGGAAAGTGCCTACCTAGGTTACAGACTGCAGTCTCAGGGGTGGCCCAGCTGGTCCCTGGCTCTGAACAGTGAGCTCATGGGGCAGATGTGGTATTGCGCAGACGGGAAAGAGCCTTCCAAGATATTTATGCAAATGGAGCCACACTGGAGAGGTGGACTTTTAGAAAGTCAGAACTGTTTAATGATGTCTCTGATAATGATGTGGAATAGCAGGTGATAATGACAATACCAAATTCTTATTATCCTGATCTCATTATACCAAATTGAACTGTGGTCCTGAGTTTTTTCTCCGCTACCAGGAAGACTCCCTTGCACATGCCCTCTTGCTCCAGCTACTCTGCTCCACCTGTCATCTCCTGGACAGGCCATCTGCAGGCCCACATCTGGCCAGTGCTTGGCGTGTTTCCCTTCCCAGGTGCCCCTCTCCTGCCTTCATCCACCAGGATGCTTCTTGCCAGTCAAGCCCAACTGCTTCCTCCCTTCCGGGATCCCCATCCTCAGCCCTCCTGTCTCCCTGAGACTGCCACACCAGCACACCGGCGGCTGGGCCTTTCACTAGATGCTCAGCCTTAGCCTCCTCACTATGTCTGTGTGTCTGTCTGCCCCACCAGCTGTTTGAGACTCCCGTCACTTCTCCATACTCCCCACAATGCTCAGTGTAGACGCTCAGTAGAGAACTGTTAACTGACTTATCTTTGCAGTCTCCATAGCTGGTATCTTTATTCCCTTAACAAAAGACAAAGCTCTAGCTCCCTTGCAGTCTCAGCATGTAAAGTGTTTTCTCTTTCTTCAGCGGCTCTTCCTGTTCCAGGATTCTTATGTAGGAAAGGTTCTGACACCCAGTCCTCATCCCTTATGCCCTGGAACCCCTCCCTTGGCCTGTTACAGTCCATCAGCCCTCCTCTGGAGAGACTAGGTATTCTGTCAGCTGTGATATACTCCCCCACCCACCCTAATAGCCTCACTGCCTCTCACTCTGGGCCCATCCAGGACCTGGGCACAGTCCTAGATTCTGTTGTTCTGATGGTACATTAACTTCCTTGATTGTGGTATCTCTTTGGGGGGCCCCCTGATGAGTGGGACCTGGTGTCGCCTAGACCTGATGCAGGGGCCTGACCCGTTCCATAGCTGTGCCTTGACCCAGTGGTAGGCCCAGTGCTTGTCTGGGAGCTAGGCCCAGCTGGCGGAGTCACCCATCTGGCAGAGTTGCCCAGGTGGCATCCTTGCTCCCTTCATTTGTGTTCTGATTGCTTTCTCCCCTTTGCTGGAAACTGACAGACCTTTTCCACACAAAGGGCTCTGATGCTGAATGAGGTAGAGGAAATCACGGAGCTTCTGGTCTAGCACAGTAGTTCTCAGCCCTGCTGAGAGCTTTTTAAATATGCAGGTGTCTGCCCCCTCCCCAACCCCAACAGTTTTAATATAATAACACTGTATTAGAGTCTAGACATCTGTGTTTCATTAAAGCTGCAGCATTGACTCCAGGGCACAACCAAGAACACAGACTACCTGTCTCAGTCCATTTGGGCTGCATTAACAAACTGCCACAGACTAGGGGGCTTATAAACAACAGAAGTTTGTTTCTCTAGCTCTGGATGCTGAGAAGTCTGAGAACAAGGCACTGGAGGATTCGGTGTCTGGTGAGAGCCTGCGTCCTGTTCACCAATGGCCATCTTCTCACGGTGTCCTCACATGGCAGGAGGAGTGAACTCTCTGGGGTCGTTTTATAAGGGCACTTATCTCATTCACAAGGGTTCTGCCCTAGTGACCTAATCAACCTCCCCACCCCGAGGCCCCGTCTCCTGATACCATCTCATTGGGAACTGGGATTACAGCATGAACTTGGGGGAGACGAAATAGCACACACTGAGCACTTTCTCTGTGGCAGGCACCATTGGAGTCCTTTCCTCAGGCTGCCTAATCTGTGTTAATGTCTAGTTGAATCTCACAGTAATGCCAGGAGTTAGATAAGATGGGTTCTGGCCCACCAATTAAGAGGTGGAGAGGTCAAACTTCCAGTGGGCACACTGCTCACAAGTGTAGAACTCAGATTTAAAGCAGGACCAGCAGACTTCCAAGCCAGCCTCGTAGCCCTTGTTGCTATGCCACTGACCTCATCCTCTTCTTGAGCCATATTCCCAGCCACCTCACTGAGTACCTCCTCCTGGACATCCCTTAGGCATTTCAGAGAGAACATATTCTAATTGTGAACCAATGGGTTCTTCCCCAGAACTTGGCTTCTCCAGGGCCCCCCCTAATGGTCAAGGGCACCACTGTTTACCAGCAGCTAAGAAAAGGTATGCCGTGCCTGCCTCCTCCATTTTCACTGCCCCCCCCTTCACCACCACGTCTACATTCACTCGGTTCCTTCCACCTTTTGTTCAGCTCTCTGGATTGCCTCTCCACTTCTTCATGCTCACAGCTCAGTTCTTCCTTGTTGGACCATCAGCAGTAACCTTCTGATGAGTCTCTGGGATTTTACTCTCTCCCTCTTCTTACCTGATCCACACAGTACAGGTACCTCAGTTCTCATCGTTAAGCACAGATGTTATCTGATGGCTCTGAGCTACCTCTGAACAAAAATCCCATCCCAGCCTTTAGGCCTGGCATCCAACACTACTCAGGCTGCCCCCCACCTCCCCAGGCCTGCCTCTCTGCTACACTTCGTACCTGGGCTTGGCCACACTGATTCTCTACCATTGTCCAAAAGGCCCACTCTCTCACCTTTTTTCCTTTACCTGTGCCCCTCCTCTGGTTGGAACCCCTTTTGTCCCACAGGTCTACCTGGCAAAGCCCTGTGCAGTCCTCAGGATAACCCTTAAACCTCACTTCTTGAAACTTCTTTGATTCTGCTGGCTAGCTGGCTGCTGTTCCTCTGTGCTCCCTCAGCATAACTGTCTTCTAGAATAGTGGTCAGCCTCCAAAAGACCAGGAGTCTCCTGGGAGCAGAGACCTTGTTTGATTCCTGAATCCATAGCAATGAGTCCAGGAACACAGGCTGAGCATGAAGTAGGCGATTGGTGAAGATCGGTGACTGAGACCCTTCTTGGGCCTAGGCACCACCTGCTTTCCTTCTGTTTGGACAGGTGCAACAGGTGCATATCCCTCAGAGCCTCTGGTCACATTTTGGCTCAGCTGTTATTTCCACCAAAGGTGTAGACAGAACAACAATGCAGAGTATTCACAAGTATACCAAAGGATGGGAAAGCAAAGCGGTTCTGGTCAGAGAGCAAGTGGGATATCTGAGGGCAGTAGCTCACAGTTGCTTGTAGATTCATAAGAATGAAACAGATTATCAATCCTTTATAACAGTAGTACTGGTAAAAAATAAAACTTGATTCCATTTTAAACAGAACCCAATAAAATGCAGAGCTGTAAATTTCCATCTGGGAAAACTGATCTGTTAGATATAATGCTCACCAAGGAAAATTCACAAAGGCTGCAGCTGTTAACCAGGAAATCAATGTTGACCAAAAAGTAGTTGGTGAGTCAAATCCTCCCTGTAATGTTTACATAGGAAATAATGGACTCAGTGAAAACTGTTTTAGTAAAATGAAAATTAAAAATCAGAAACAAGGATTGTTCAGTGTAAAAGTCATTTACTTTTCCTCTGGAAAAATTTGTCAATAAATAATTCATCAGCATTGGCATAATCCTGATCACAGTGCACATGCTGTTGGGATGAAGATGTCTTGTCCTTGGGTGTGTAGTTGCTGCTTTCATGTGACCATCTCCACCGTGGAATGTCAAACCTGAGGGAGCTTTCAGCCTAACCCTTTCCTCTTTCTTACAGGGGGCAGTGCCCAAAGGAAATGCCACCAAAGAATTCATTGAGAGTTTACAGCTGAAGCCCGGGCAGGTGGTGTACAAGTGTCCCAAATGCTGCAGCATCAAGCCCGACCGAGCACACCACTGCAGGTACACACACAACCACCTAGGGCTTGCCTCCTTACCTCCCATCACCCCCTCAGTGCACACACGCGCACATGTACACACACACACACAAACACACGCGCACATGCACACTCTGGAGTATCAGCCTCTCACTCAGGTGTCATCAGCAACAGGACTTCCGAATGTCCCTGGTCTGGGCACAGAGTGACCACTATGACTCTCACTCCCAATCTCTGTGAGCTCACTAGTCTGGAAAAGGCATTCATTTTGGGCTCAGGACACCTGTCTCAGGACTTGGCCATGCCACAGCTGATTTAGGGCCCTACACAGGCCCTTGACTGTCTGCACCTTTGTCTCCCTATCTGTAAAATCGAAGGGATTCCTGCTCTTCCTACCTCATGGCTTTATTACTTTAAGGGCACATCAGACAAGCTTTAGAAAGTTATTCTGTGTATGTCTAATGCTTGACACATTTAAGAGGTGAGGCCTACTTATTTCAGTTTCCAGAGAAATGTAGAGGTTATCCTTGAAGGAAAACTTCTTGAAGAAAAAACCCTAGAGGTTGTGACAGTTGTAGAATCCAACCAAAAAAGCCGTTTCCCCATCTTATCTGTGGTGGTTTTTCCCATTTGGCTTTCAGATTTTCTTGCTATTTTGAATCTTCTCAACAAGAAGACGTCTAGCTAAAAGTTGCACTTTTTCATTACAAGGCAATGTTAAACATTAAATCACAGAAATACAAACATGTCCCATGGTCCCTTTTCCAGACTGGTATGTTTGGGGTGGGAAGGGGTTGTGGAGGAAGGAAGGAATTGGCTCCTGATACCAGGAGGTCATCCTCATCAGCCTGAGGCTGCAGAAACCTTTGGGCTTGGTGAGCTCCAGCAACTGAAAGGTGGCATTTCTGCGAGGACCTTCCTGCCCGCCCCACAGAGGAGAGCAGGCAGTCTCTCCAGTGCTCAGATTCTGACATCCGGGCCTAAGTGCCTGCTGTGGCTCGGGCGCCGCAGCCCACCCTGTCTCGCCATCACTCATCTTTTCAGGTTGCCCCTGGAGATGGCATTGCTGCAGGAATGGCTCCCCTACATGAGGGAGTAAGGCTTAAAGGGGTTAAGTGACTACTGTGAGGCCGGCTGGAAGGACTAGAGACTGGATGTGGGCCATTGTTCCTGGCTTCAAGTCCAGGGCTCTTTCCACTAAAACTCCACAGTTGAAGATGATGTGTGGTGTAATATGATGCCATTATATGTATATTTTTCTGTCTGAGAGAGAGAGAGAGAGAGAGAGATCCAGGGGCCTCCTCAACCAGGTGCCCCCATGTAAGAGTGAGGGCTGAAGACCTTGGGCAGCAGCCTCAGGTAATTGCTGTTGCCTGTGGGGTTGTCTGTCTCTGGGTCAGCTTGCTTCTGATACCTGTGTTACACAATAATTCAAGGCTTGCTCCGTGTACCTGAGAGGGAGGTGTGAGTCTAGCCCTTTCCTGCCACCCCAAAGCTTGAGAAAACCAGCTATTTCCATCATCTGGATGAAAGGCTGAGCTTGCTTAGCTGCTCCCTCAGGCAGCCCAGGGTGGGGGAGCAGGTTCGGGCGTTGAGTTTGCAGAGGTCAGCACTGGAAGCCCAGCACTGTCCCTGCCACTCTGTGGGACCTTGGGCAAGGCACTGACTGCATCTCTCTGAGCCTCAGCTTTCCCCTCCATGAAAATGGTTGTTCCTCCCTATCTTGCTGTGAGAATCAAATACAAATTACTGTATAAGTCACCTCACTCAGTAAGTAGCAGCTGTTTGTTACTAGAGGAATATGTGAGCACTGGGGATGAGTTTATACAGACTGAACAGGAACAGAGAGGTGTATACTTTGTAGAAAAGAACTTTTTGGTGACCACAGTGGTTCTTTTCTCCTTCCCACCTTGGCTGCCTCCACTGCCTGGCATTTTCCTCACCACCTCCCCTCCGCCGCTCTCCCCAGGATGACCTGGGGGAGGCATCCTTGAGTGCTATTAACAGATCAGCCTGAGCAAAACAAGAGCTGCTGATAAGGACTAACTCGAGTGAGGGTGCCTGCACATTTCTGGTTTCTGCCTCAGGAAACGTGCACTGACTGCTCCTTTGTGATGGCTCATAGTGGCCCAACCCATCTGGGGACCCACAGTTTGGGTGAACAAAATGCCCGGACACCAAACAGCTGGTTTATGGCTGGTTGAGCTGAAAGGCCTGCGGCCTGGCTGAAGGAATTTAGTGTCAGTCTTGTCTGCTCAGGCGAAGGTGCACATGCATATGCATGAGCTTGCATCCAGCTGTTTGGTTCCTCTCCTCCCAAAGGAGTCTGGAATTTCAGACTGTCCCCATTCCCTGAGCTCTGGTGGGTACCGCAGATACTCCCTGCCCTTGGCCCTTCCTGCCCAGTGGTATGTGGATGCATCTTCCTTCCAAGGACAGGCACCCTGGAAACCCAGGCTACTTTCATCCTGGAGCTGAGAATCATCAAAGCATGTGGAAGCCCTTGGGGGGAGCTGTTTATGCTGAAAGGGGATCACCAAGGTATTAGGCTTGTGCAAAGGTTCATCTTGCCCAAGGAGGTAGAAACCCCTGGTGTTGGCAAAGCCTCACACTTGTCCCCAGCCCCCAGAAACCTCCATACTCAGGCTGAAGCCATCATGGACTGCTCAGTTTCTTATTTTGTCTTTCTCATGATTATGATTATAAAGTTTATATAGCACTAGTATTATTTTTAAAGCATTTTACATACATTACCTGTAACCCTGAGTGGTCAAGGCTAATTCTCCAGAGGGTAGTTCAGAGAAGCCAAGTTTTTTTGCCAGAGCCCAAAGTGAGGATCCGGGAGCAGTGTTCCCTTCACCACCCTATGTTGCCTTACCCATATCATCTCTGAGCTGGGGCCAGGATGTCCCAAGTGGCTTTTTGGCTTCTGATTTTAACCACAGGGAATGAAGTGTGAGATGGAAACCTGTCTGCAGGGCACTGGCACCTCTTTGCTCGGGTCTTTTCTCTTCCCTTCCTGGAGCTTCCCAGGCTTCTGTGATGGAGCCCATTTCCCGGGCTTGCCCTCCTCATCTGTAGCATCAGAGACCTCACTGAACCGACCCTCCAGTGGACCCGGGCTTGGCTCTGGCTGGCTGGCACATCAGACATGGCCCCGACCCCCCCAGTCAGAGCGGGCGCACTCGTCCGCCATGGACAGTCCTGTGAGTGCCGCTGCAGGGAGAGACCTGGGCTCTCACAGCCATGGCCGAGTTCCCGTGGCGGGCCCCCACCCAGCACGGCAAAAGGGCCTTCTCCAGCCCCTTTGGGGCCAACTGCCAAGGGAGGGCACTTGCACCTCCTTGGTAGAGAGGGGCATGAGCACAGAGGAACCCTGTATGTGGGAACCAGTGAGCTGGTTGGGCTCTGCCAAGCTTCTGAAGGAAGTGCTCTGAGAAGGGGCCTGAGAAATGGGAGGGAATCTGGAGGAAGGTTGGGGGTAGAAGCATGTGCCCTGTTCCAAAAATGATTTTAAAACCTGCTTGGGAAGCCCAAAGGCTGGGACACCAAAAAATGCCTCCATTTAAGAAGTTTGGTCTTCTAGTTATTGTTACTCATGCTTAGGACGGCCACTGGCACTCCATGCCAGTGCCTCAGAACTCACCCGCCAGCCGTATCCCACCCAGGACACCTGGCAGTGGGGCTAGAGGTCAGAGCTAGGAAGGGGCAGTTGGGTACTGTAAGGATAGAGCAAGCGGGTAGGAGCCGCGGAGAAAACGGGCGTTTCCTAGTGGTCTGGGCAGAGAGAGGGTTCTAGGGGCCCTCCCTGCCATGGTGCCTGGGCTGCCCTGCCGGTCCGGAGCAGGGTCCCCGCTGGGCCATGGGGGCTATGAAGAGGGCTGGCTCTGCGGTGACTGATTGCCCAGTGGGGTATCTGGGCTTGTGGGAGGCCCACATTTCTTCTTCCTCCTCATGACAGATAGTACCTGAGGTGAAACAGCCAGGTAAGGTGTGTGCAGTCACCACCCTGGGCCAGGAGTGTCCTTCACTGACCCACTCAGCAGCCCACCTCCAGGCCTTGCCCTTGGTCTGCCCCAGGCCTAGCGCCATCCAGGCTGGGTGTTTTATGAGCTGTAGGTGAGTCAGCCTTTGATCACTGCCTCCAGCCATGTGCATGGATGGACCTCCCCACTCCCATGCACCAGCTCCTGGCCCAGGAGCCCACTTCTGACTAACTCTGTCAGCTGGCCAGAAAGGTGCCATCTTGGCATTTAATGTCTTTGTAAAAAGGAAACTCAGAGACCTGCACTCTGGACCAACTTTTTCAGCTCTCAGTGGGCTGTGCTCACTTTTCCCTGCTCCCTGAAGAGTGAGTAGTTTCTAATTTGGCTGCCCAGTGAGACTTAGCCACCGTGAACCCAGCTCCTAGGGTTCACACCTGGTCTTCTCAGAGAGGCTGGAAGGAGACCAGAAAACTGATGTGCTGTGAGAGCTTGTTGGGATGTCCTTCAGAGGGCATCAGGCCACTCGGCCCCTCGCTGCTCTGAGCAAACTGCCTCAGAGCACTCACTTGGAACCCCTTTTAGAAATAAGTGCAGATGGAAGAGAAACTGCTCAGAGCCTGGAGCAGGGAGGTAATTACCCTCAGAAGTTGGTCCCCAGACAAAGAGGCGATTAAGAAAGCCAAAGGAGGACATGCAAGAAATGGAGTACCAGAGGAGGCCCACGGAGGGGACGTGGGCCTGGTGGCTGAGACTGCATGCAGGGAGCCGCTGGCTCTTCCTGTCTGCTGGTCTGTTCTCTTTTAAATGTATGCAGGGAACAAGTGTTACCATTTAAATATATATATTATCTGTATTCACATGTACCTTTTAAATTGGTGATGCACACATACAGAGGGAGAGACTAATGGAGTTGCTGCTACCTGACTTTCTCTTTATTTCCCTCCATGTCTCTGTCATGACTTCCTTTCTTACTCTGCCCTCCTAGTTCCCCTGAGGACTCACGTTCCCTGAGATGTGCCCCTCCTGATATGCCTGGGTCAGGAAGGCCCTCTGAGTCGAGGAGGACAGCGAGGGTGGACACTAGAATGACTGCACCACCCGTCTGAGCCAGGCCCAGCATCTGCTCTCACCTGTCCTTACAACGAGACTTGCTTCCCACGATGGGGAACCTGGAGCTTGGAGTTTAGTTGGTCTGACCAGGGCAGCTCAGCAGACGCAGGGCTGCCTTGCCACCAAGCTCATGCCACATTTAGAAAAGGCCACACCACCTTCTTGGGCTGTGAGAGTGCCTTGCAGCCCAAAGTGGGCCACAGGCCTCACCGTGGTGTCCTTAGAGCGGCCGGTGCTTCCTGCCTGGAGTTGAGGGAACAGCTCCCCTCCAAGCCAGGAATGCCTCCGCTTTCCCTGCCCTTCCTTGGGCTGCCAGAGCTCTGTGAGTGCCACATGTGAATGTGACACAGCCCTTCTCTAATGGGACTCTGAGGCCAGCCCTTTCTCCAGGGTCCACCTGCCATAGACCTCTGTGCATTTGTTACGGAAACTAGTGGAAAGAAAAGCTGGTGGGAATTAATGAACTTTAAAAAAAAAAAAGCAAACAGCTGTCTCTAAATTTAAGCTTTGAAAGTAGTTGCTTTCAAGCCCCCATTAGCCTTGCGTTCTCTTTTCAGAATAAGTACTTTGTATTGTCCAAAAAGGGGCGGGGAGGGCGTTAGCTGTCAAATATACGTTGAAACAGTCTAGGTCCAAAAGTGATCCCAATCACAAGTCAGTAATTTGCAAATTAATGAGATTTCTCATCAACACTTAAGCTCAAATGGCTTTTTCTGCACTCTTCAGCTAAGAAGATATTATCTTACAGGTGAAAGGTTCTTGGGGCATTTTCCAGCCACCCTGGGCCACCCTGCATGCGTCCCCACCAGGAACTCCTCTAGTGCTTGCTTCAGCCAGCCACCCCTCCCTGGCAGCCTGGCCGAAGTTCCATCTAGCCCTGGCCTCCGGATTTTTGGTCTTTGGGGGAAATTAGGAGCAGCAGGTGTATCCCATCTCAATGAGTTAAGTTTTTCAAAGTGCTTCTTCATTCCATCCTCTCAGTAAAGCAAACTCATGGCTCATTGTTACCTCAGGAGAGCAGCCTCTTCTCAGCCTTGAAGGGTCCGTGCTATTGTTATGTTAAACAAGATAAGAGGTGTTGGAGGTGAATGACTCTCCCCACATTTGGAGTGACTGTGGCCCTGGGGTTCCTGACCCTGTCATCCAAGCCCCTTGCCACACATACCCAGCAAAACACCTGGTGGTGCCCAAGGAGGCCACTCGTGAGGAGTGGAGCTAGAGAGTGGGTTCTGTTTGCCTCGGCCTCCCACCACCACAAGGACGCCCCTGAACATCTGCCTTGTGGGCTCTTCCAGTGTTTGTAAGCGGTGCATCCGGAAGATGGACCACCACTGTCCCTGGGTCAATAACTGTGTCGGTGAGAACAACCAGAAGTACTTCGTCCTGTTTACAGTAAGTCAGCTTCTGAATCCTGCCCCGCCCTCCATAAAGCAATGAAGGTTTGAAAATTCTCAGCACTCACCATGTTTTTTCCTGCAATACAGCCTACTACCTGTTTGTGTAGCCCTCTACCCTTCTACCAAAGCTCTCCTTGGCTCAACAGGTGCCTTTCTCTAACCCTTTCACTCCATAGTGTCTAGAAAACTGATTCAGGTTGATCAGCTGTAAGCAAGAGGCTTGCCCTCAGCTCCCATCCCAAGTGCCCAGTCTGGGTAGCTAATGCCAGCAGTTTCGGTGACAACTGCCCGCCCTCCTCCAGCTGCGGGCAGGTGGCGTGAACATAGTGTGGGACTGGAAGGGCTGCTGGTAGTCGGGCTCTGACTTTCCAAGTGAGGAGAAGCTGCAGGCCTGAAGTGCCCCGGGCAGCCCAGCCTACCCAGAGTCCACATCAGGCCCGTGATGGGCACTTGTTTCTGTTCTCATTCCTCACATTCTCAGTAAATGGCTGCCCACCTCAGACCCAGGGCCAGGGGCAGGGGACCCATAGAGGAATTACCAGACGCATCTCTGGCCTCCTTTCTGGTCAGCCCTCAGCCAGTGTGTTCCTAGCTGAGAGGGTCTGAGCGGGCCTGTGATGCAAGCCTCGGTTCCAAGTGGGATTTTCTGGCCCTGCATGGATGGCTCCCGTGCCCTGCAAGATCAGAAGGTTCTCACAACAATGGCTTCTGCACTGCTTTCCTGTTTCAGATGTACATAGCTCTCATTTCCTTGCACGCCCTCATCATGGTGGGATTCCACTTCCTGCACTGCTTTGAAGAAGACTGGACAAGTGAGTATGTGCCAGGATTTCCCTCCATACTTCAGGGGCTTGTGTGACGCAAGCGGGGCTGGGCCCTTTGTTTGCATCCTGGTGCTAGACCAACCCCGTTTTATTAGATCTCCTGCAAGCCTATGGAGTGACCAGAGAAGGGACAGCAGAGGCCTGCACATCTCCCCATGAAAAAAAGCAGCCCCTTAGAGTCAGTTCCATAGATACAGTAGTGAGTGGAGCAGCCCCCTGGCCTGGGTGCACCCAGGGACAGCACCGCCCTCAGCAAGGGGGCGTTGCGGGGAGTGGGAGCCCTGCTAGGGAGAGGACTTTTGTTCCCAGGTGTCAGCAAGGCACAACAAGGCTGGTTTATTCCAGTCTTGCAGAAATGTGTTTTTAACTTTCTGACTAGAATATGGAGATTTTTTTGTGTGTGTTTGTTTTTTGTGGTTGTTTTGTAACGGCTTAATCACCAATTTGCATTTTAAATGTGCAATACTTGAGGGTCTCCGACCGGAAGATTCCATCAGTCCTGAGGGGGAAAAAAAATAGATGCTGAAATAAATAAATAAATAAATTTTTAAAGAAGAATATAAAATGAGAAGTAAGAAAAATAGATGCTGGAGGAACCATTTGTTGGGCTAGATCTTTCACACAATCTGGAAGGCAAACATCTTGAGCAAAATCCTCATATTTCCACTGTTTTTCCCTTGATGGGTCCCATTTGTCATCTTACCATCTTTTAGAAGTTTTGCTCTCCCTTCACATGCTTACTTCTTAGGCATTTTCTTGCTTTTGTTGTTCCCTTGAACTTGTGAGGCTATGGGAAGGACAGTATCTTTAGCCCCTAGCCAGATATTTAGAGGCTTTCCCTGTGCCTGGTCATAGTTTGTACCTGCCCCTTTCTACTCTCCCTGGCTCTGCCCTCCCCTTTGTGTGGCCTGACCTTACCCAGGGAAGAGAACCCATGTGTCTTAGTCACTCAGGCTGCCATAACAAAATACCAACAACTGGGTGCCTTAAACATTATTTCTCACAGCCTTGGAAGCTGCAAAGTCCAAGGGCAAGGTGCCAGCCAGTTTAGTTCCTGGTGCAGGCTCTCCTCCTTGTGTCTTCACATAGCAGGGAGGGAAAGCAAGCTCTCAGGTGTCTCTTCTTATAAGGGCACTAATCCCATCACATGGGCCCCACCCTCATGGCCTCATCAACCCTCATCCCCCAAAGGCCCCATCACATCATGGGTTGGGGCTTCAACATCTGAATTTTGGAGAGGACACAATTGACACCATAACACCATGTCTCCCTGTTTTCATCAGAACTACCACAGCTCTTGCATAGAGCAGAGAGGGATAGGTCAAGCAGTGGGTAGTAAGGAGAAATCAGTTGGGGCAAGTGCATTTCTGTAGATCCTACCTACCATTCTGTGTAGCTGGGTGGGTCACCAGCAAGTTCCATGGTCAACATTCTGAGTACTCATAGTCTGCTTGGCCCTGGGAATCCAGTTCAGCTCCAGATATGGCCTTGGCAACTTGAGGTAGAGTCTAACAGGGACATGTATCATCATGAATGCAGCCCACCTGTCATCAGGTGAACAGATGTGGGCAGTGACACAGACTGTCCATGAGGCAGGAAGGCAGCCTCTGGAGCGGAGCTAGCTGTTTTAGCAGTGCCCACTGGCTGTTTTAGCAGTGCCCACCAGGAGCAGGCGTGGCGCACAGGGCTTTGTGAGCAGTGCCTTATTTCGACCTTCTAACAAGCCTGCAGGGTAGGAGAGAGCTCCCCACTTTGCAGATGACAAGAGCTGGGGCTCACAGAGGTTGAGCTGGTTCCCAAGCTCACATGGCTAAGAAGAGGGCCTCCCATGCAAGCCTCGAACCCAAGTGGGATTTTCTGGCCCTGTACAGATGACTCCAGTGCCCTGCATGCTCTTCATTGTCTTTGGTCAAGATTGCTGATGGAGGGGGCCTGAGGCATCTAGTTCCTGCAGCAGCTAGGCTAGGAAGCTGCAGGACAGTCCCCAGAGTGGAAGCCTGAGAGCTAGCCTTATGTGAGGGTCACTGCCAGCATCACTCACCCCTGTGTATGCAGGGGCAGGGGATGGCCCTCAGGATGAGAGCACTTGGAGATGATACTTGAAGAAAGGTAAGGTGGTGGTTCCGCATTCCCCAGATCTGGTTCCTGCCTCCCCAAACTCCATTTGCAGTTTCTGGGGCCAGCTCAGGAGGGAAAGGATGCTTGTGACGACACGGGGATGGAGGATGGGCCACCACACTGCACTCTGCCTCCAGCTCCCACTCCAGGCCCCTGAGGTGGGTAAGGAGGGGGCATGCTCCTCCGTCCAGTGAGCACCCCGTTTGCTCATTCTGGGCTCAGTCTAAACTGTGCATGTTTTTTCTCAATTATTCCACCAGACAGAAGGGAAAACTAAAGCTCAGGTAGCCCTGACCTCTTGCCAGATTCTTTTGCTGTCAGGCACTGCTCCAAGGCTAGTTGTGCAGCAGGGAGACAAAGCAAGACCCCACCTCCCTTGACCTGAAGGTGTGATGGGAGAGGCAGATATCAAGCAAGGATAGAAGGAAACCAGTGATTCCACAGTGCACGTAATGGGAGACACAGGCACGGGAACAGAATATAAGTGGGGACACCTTAGACCTTGTGGTCAGGAGTTGGTGCCAGGATCTATACTCCACCATGCCTGCCTGACATCAGAGCCCTCATCCTTCCCACCAAGGCAGGCAGCTGCCTCACCCGTGACCACCCAGAGCCAGCCCATCAGGCTGCTGGGCCACCCCAAACAAGCCCTGCCCAGCAAGGAACCAAGAAGGGAAAGTGTCTGGAGGTGTTGCTAAGTTCTGACGGAAACGTGAGGAGATAAAGGCATTTACACAAGATGTTCCTTACCCTGCCACCCGTTCAGTGCTGGGTGTCTACAAGCTTCCGGCTTCAACTTCCCTTGCCTATCCTGATGTTCCATAATACAGCCATCACACACTGGTCAAGAAGAGACCATGAGCAAGGAGTGATGCACGTCAGGGAGAAGAAGCCCTGGCAGGGCCTGGGCCACGGGGGAGGGCTGCCTGGAGGGAGTGCTGGTGCAGCCGTGTGGGGGTCAGGATGGTCCCCAGCAGGACCTGGAGGCCAGAGCCTGTGGCATCCAGGAAGAACCACATCCTGCAGGACTGGAGGCAGACTGGAGCCCAGGACATGGGGTAGTGGCAGTAGGCAGTGGATGGCAGCCCTGAGCCCTGCGTGTTCCTTCTCTTGCAGAGTGCAGCTCCTTCTCACCACCCACCACGGTGATCCTCCTCATCCTGCTGTGCTTTGAGGGGCTGCTCTTCCTCATTTTCACTTCAGTGATGTTTGGGACCCAGGTGCACTCCATCTGCACAGATGAGACGGTAAGTGGGAGACTGCCCACCACCTCCACACCTGGGGTTGGGGGAGGCCACAGGGAGGTGTTGCTGGGAGGGCTGCATGCAGGCTGGCCCCAGCACTGACCAGGGCCCAGGTGTGCAGACACATGCCTCCATTTGCAGTGGCACCGGGTCTTCACACACATACACAAGTCCACCCCACCTGGGGCCCAGCAGCCTCGGTAAAGGGTTCCCTTTGCCACAAGCCCTTCCATCCTCCCATGATGGTTCTGTTGTGTAAACTGTGCTATGTCGGGCACTCCACTGGGCCCTGGGACACCCTTCCCATCTGAGGGCCATAGGTTTGGAGACAGGATGATGGGATTCCCAAATCCAGCCAGCACAGGCAGGATCAGCCTCCCAGGGGAAGGTGACCTCATGACCAGGTCCAGAGGGTAGAGTCAGGAGAGAGCCCTGCCTTGAGCCTCCCAGAGCAGTGGGCAGCAAGCTCTCACTGGGCCTCTTGGTCCCCTCTGCTTCGCCCAGCTCTAGTCCTAGTACATCGTCTTCTCCCTGCCCCCATCCCTACCTTCTGGGAGCTTCAAACCTGCTGGCTGGAGGGGAGTCCACCCCCCTCATGCCACTGCCACCACCTCTCGACCTTCCTAAGGTGACCAGAAGCCTCAAGGTAGTCAGTCCATGACCATGATGTGGGTACTTCTTACCTTTTGGCTTTGGGCTCCAAATAAGGGGCCCTAGGAGGCAGGGGCAGCACTTAGCTCTGGTGTGAGGTACAGAGTCATGAGGTTGTAAGTCTGTCCGGGCACTATTCCTGGCTTCCCAAGGTCACCTCAGGTGGCAACTCTCCACAGGTATCTAGGGGTCCTGTCTGGGGGTCTTTGGGCCTGCTGCTTAGTCAGCCTTACCTAGAGGCCGGTAGAAAGAGCCCTTACCGCTGTTGATCAGGCCCCTCCCCTGTGGCGTGGGACATCAGCGTGCAGAGGAGCACAGCACTGCCCAGCTGCCAAGCACCGTCACTTGGGTCTGTGGGGATTTAGAAAATTGGGGGAATCTCAGCAACTTATTTTCTTACGTAAGAAATAACTTTACAAAAGAGTTCTGTGAAAATAATAGCCAACAGTGTAGCCCCAACTGTGCATCCAGGCAGTAAATGTGACAGCTTGTCTGTGTCCGAGCTGCAGGGAGCCTGTAGGTGACGCCCAGCCCCACCCACTGGGGAGCCAGGAGGAAAGGGCACACAGCCCTGCCCCCAGGTGCACTCCCAGCAAGGCCATTCCTAAGGGCGTCCTGCCTGTGCCCTGGGTCCTCCCAGGCCCCATTCCTGCCCCTCCCCACCAGAGGCCACGGCTGACAGACTTCTGGCCTGGCTCCTGCCAGGCTTCTTCCCTGTGCCTCTGGGCAGAGGCCCCCTCTCAGGCCCGAAGAGGAGAAGGGAGGAGCCAGCTTTCTCCCCAGCCCCCCTCTGTCCTGTGAGATGCAGCTGGGGGAGTGGCCTCGGGTCCCTCTTCTCCCCAGGGAGCACGAGGACACCCCTTGCCATGCCTGAGGCCAACTGGTCTGCCTGTGGCCCCTCTAACCGGTACTAATTCCTCCTCCCTCCTCTGTGGTGCCTTCTCACTCCTGTTTGGCCTCCCAGTGCCAGAGCAGCATCTGATTTGTTCCTTTTTTTTCCATCTGCAAAGTGGTCATAGTATCTTCAAACTTTCTATGAACCTGCCTGAATTAAAGACCGCCACTGGCGATCACAATCGTAGTTCTTCCTGGCAGCCCTGAGGCATATCTCGCCAAAGCCTCCCAGCACCCACACACACAGCACAGTGCCAGGCCAGAACCCAGTAGGACTGCAGGACCAGTAGGGACTCGTGCCACGTATGATGGGTACGTCCTTCACGTAACAGGACGTACCGGTCGGCAGAGCTAGGAACAGTGGCCTGGAGCCTGCCGACTTGCTCACTTTTCACTCTATTCCTGCAGAGCCCACCCCCCACGTCCCCCCAAAAACATGATTTTTTTCTTTAACACTTTTTATAAGAGAAAAAAATGTATTAGGTAGATAGCTTTATGGCTTGGAAAGGAAGCATTTACTCCATTCACCTCTAGCTAATGGTGAATCCCTCCCAGAAATGCACAGCAATGAAGTGCTTGACTGAAAGTGTGATTGTGCTTGTTTCCAGGGCATAGAACAATTGAAAAAGGAAGAGAGAAGATGGGCTAAAAAAACAAAATGGATGAACATGAGAGCCGTTTTTGGCCACCCCTTTTCTCTAGGCTGGGCCAGTCCCTTTGCCACGCCAGACCAAGGGAAGGCAGACCCGTACCAGTATGTGGTCTGAAGGACCCTGACCAGCACTGCCACTCAGAGACACAAACTGCATCACAGCACTACCATCTGATCCGTTCTCATGAATATTTAAACTGAGAAACAAAACAAGTACTCTAAAACTTTTTTTTATGTCTCAAGTAAAATGGCTGAGCATTGCAGAGAAAAAAATGGCCCCATGTTTTATTTTTAAAAGATCATCCTTTACTTTTTGGTGACCGAAGCTACTCTTCTTTTTTCCTTTTTAAAATCACTCCTCTGGCCTCTGGTTTCCTCTGTGCTGTCTGCCTGGCATGACCACCATGGAGGGTACTCTCTGCGGGCAGCACCCACCAGTACTAACTGAGTGGGACAGGACCCTGGAGTGTGGATGGACCCGTCCAGATGCCTGGCTGGGGATGTGTGGGAGAGCCAGGAGGGCCCGTGAGCTCCCACTGCCCAGGAGGCAGTGGGGGCACCCCAGGGGAACTTAAAACCTGACCGAAGATGGATCCTGCCCCTTGTGGCCCGAGAGGGGCAGGATCAGGGCTGGAGCCCTAAGACAGGCCCTTGGCACAGCGACTTCATCCCCCATGTGAACATGGTTTGCCTCCTAATTCATGAAATCAATTGCCTGCTTTGTACTTTATGGGCTTGGGGTGTGTAGATGACTTTTGGGGGAGGGAGAAGATGAAAGAGGTCTTATTTATATTCTGAATCACCAATTATATTCCCTCTGATCATTTGAAAAGCGTGAAGGAAAGAAGTTCTTCCAGTTCAAAATGCCTTACATAATCAAAAGAAGAAAAAAATTATACAATTCTAGGTGAGCTACGCTTTCCTCTGCTAAATCCTTTTACTCTCTTACCTCCTCACGTCCCTCCCTCTCCCGGCAGGATGCCAGTGAAGCAGTGTTAATACTGCATCCAACAGCCAGTCTCCATCACACGCAGCCTGCAGTCAGCCCTTTCAAACTCTGTAAATCTCTAAAGCGGGTTCACTTTCTGATATTCCAGACCCATAAATGTACACGTCTTACCTATATTTTAACCTGGGAGACTGTTGTCCCGGCATGGGGCTGACCATGACACAGGGGTGACATTATAGCCCCCAAACATTTTTAAGCTGGTAGATGACCATCCTATTTGCTGGAATCAGCAGATAAACATGGGACTGAATCGCTCTTCATTTGGAGGCACTTGCTGGGTTGTCTGATTTGAAAGAGGCCTGAAGGCAGTGGGGTCGGGTAAGTGGAGAATGCAGAAAATAGGGAGCACCCATCAAATGCGAAAATCACAGGAATCTGAACACTGACCATCTGTGGACTCTCACACATGGGGTTTTTTTTTAAGTGAACGCTGCAAACCTTTTACTGCTTTTGCTTGAGTGGGGGATAAGGTTTATTAAATCCGATCCTGGGTAGAGAGAAAGTTGATCAAGCCATGTAATTTTTCAGGAAAGTAAGTGGAACATGCTGCCTTTTCAGTTCTGTCAGTGCTTCCACATGGAAGCAAAATGCAATAAAATTTTTCCAAAACCTGTTCTGATTGGACTCTGCTCTCTCACAGTTACCCTGCAGGGAGAGCGGATTGTCCAGTCAATGCGAGCTGGTGCTGTTAGGGCATTGTTTCATTGCTTTTAAAGGACATTATTTAGGCTCCCTCCACTGATGAGGTTTTTGTTGTGTCCCTTTTGAAGGGACAGGCTCGCCCCACCAGGCCTCTCTCCTTTGGCTTTCTCAACCTGAACCCCTTCCCTCGTGCTTCTGGGCTAAGAGGAGCCATCGAGTCTGTGGAGTTGCCACAAGGGTCGGCACTGGGGAGAGACCCATTTCCTCTGCCCACCCAGCAGAAAGCAAAGCCAAGAGGAGGTCCCTGCAAACGTCCACAAGCATTCTGGTGCATGGCTCTGGGAGGCTCTCCACCACCCCTCAGATGTTAACCCAACTGACCTTTGCTAAATCAGTTAATTGTGACTTGCTTCTGCTGTGCTACTTATGCTGTAGTCAAGGCTGAGAACTAGGTTTTCTTTATGCTGTTTTTAAATCTAGTTTATAGCATTTATTTCCCACAGCCTTTTTTGTTTTGTTTTGACAGTTCAGGTGTTTGAAGAAGTGTGGCTGTTAAATGATCCTAGAGCAGTTTAGGAGGCCCTGGGCCTGCTACACCCCTCAGGCGTCCAGCCCTTGGAAGGCAATACTGTCGTTCTGTTCCTCCTGCTTGGGGAGGGAGACTAGAACTCAGGGAATATTTTCTAAATGTTTAGATGGCCTCAAAATATTCCATCTTCAAGGGCATTTTTTAAGTGACCCAGGTTGGTTCTTTTCCCCGTCGAATTTCTAAGGACCACAGTGGATAGTGCTGAAGATGGAGTTTTCTTGAGTCCTAAAAACAGAAACTCGTTTAAACCTGAGCACACCACATGATGTCTTTCCCAGAGGCAAAGGCTCCTGACATCCTCGTGATTCTACCTCTGGGTTCTTACAAGCCATTTGGCTGAAAGACTGTCCTCCTGCTCTCAAGATAGAGGGAAATGCTGCACTCAGAAGATAGGAGCACCCCAAGATTCCCTGTGGCTTTCCTATTTCATTTTTCTTGAGATGGAAAACATCTTGCTGGAGAGCATAGTGACTATGGATGTGGCTGTTGCATGCAGCATAGTGCCTGGTCTGCAACATGGTGTCCACCCAGGGAGAAAGGCATCCCCAAGGTCTCCCTAGCATTCCTAGCTGGCTGATGAAGGAGGACATCCGTCTACACCAAGGCATCCTGAGCATTTTGCCTCAACACCAGAGTTGTGACAGCACTGAATGGTGTACACCTGGGAGAGGAGCCAGTGGTAACCACAGTCTTTCAGAACTTGGGCTCTGGAGAGTGGCAGTGGAAAATAAAGAGGGAAGTGGCGTGACAGGTTGGAGCAGGTGATTCCTTCCTACCTGTCAACCTCAGGTTGTGTTCATAGCGACCAGACTGAACATGCAAAAGGCCCAGGTACAAACACATGCACACATATTTGGATGGGCTTGGTGACCTCATGCACACAGAGGGAATCGGTACAGATGTGTGAGCCAAGTCTTTCAGTCATACCATTTCATCTTTCTAATACTTTTTTCTTGGAAGAACCAAATGTGAGACACTTTGAATCACCAGCTTTTGCTTATTCTGGCTCGGCTGCTTGGGAAGTTAAAATCCACCTTCCTGACACAGGAATCTTTCAGGTGAAGTAAATTAAATGTTTATTGAGCCCTATGTCAGGCGGCATCATTTAGAAAGCCCAGACCCTGGGTGGTGGCAGTGAGCTCTCCCAGCCAGCCTGATGGGCTTTAAGTTTCTCTCATTTCAAGTACATCAGCCTGAAGAGTGAGCCAGCCAGGTGAGGCTAGGGTCTCAGTGCAGGAGGAGCCCTTAAATACCAAAGAAAGTGAGGAGGAAGTTTGTGATGCAATCTCTCTCAAGAATCTCCTTGCTGGCAATACACTGAATCTGCGCCTCAAAGCCTGACACCCAGACCAGACCAGCATCAGCAGTGCCCAGGACCATGTTGAAATTCACATTCTCAGGCCCCACCCCAGGCCTGAGTCAGAAACTCTGAGGGCAGGGCCTAGCAACCCAGGTTGTACCAGCCCTCCAGGTATTTCCGGTGCATGCTCAATCCTGAGAATCTACGTGGGGCGTCCAAGGGCTCCCCTGGAGATGGTCCCTGATGCCCGGTGATGATATGGTCTTGGGTGCTGCTGGACTCAGCGTGGTGCCAGGCTGGGTCGACTGAGCCCCTCTCCCCTCATGCCTGCAGCCTCCCCAGCAAACACATGCTGAGGAAACGGAAGTCTGGTCAAAGGGGAGCCAATTATGAGTGTGCCCAGCAGTTTTACCACACTTCTCATCTGTCCAACCAGTTTCTGAACCAAGGGGCCCTCTGGGTAAAGAACACTTGAGGGAGAGGGGAAGGAGTGGAGCCGGGGTCCCCCAGGCAGGAATGGTAGTTGGGAATAAACAGCCTGGGGCCCGGCCTTGATTTCCATCTGTGGGCCTCAACACCGCGTGGCTTTTCCCTTAGTTCTCAGAATCACCTCATAGGAGATAAAGAACTCAGTGAAACAGGCTATCGGCCAGTCTACTCTCCCAAACTGAAGACTTGGTTTCCTCGCCCTCTCTCTCAAGAAAAAATCATCGATGACTTTAACAGCGTGATCATGCTCTCGCAAAGCGGCGCGGCCCGCAGGGACCCCTCCCCTTCTGCGCACGCAGGAGCTGGCGAGACCGATACAAGGGATCGTGAAAGCATCAGTGAAAGCATCGCAGAGTGGTGCCTGCAAAGCCCTGGGGAAGGCGCGCGCTCCCACAGGGACATGAAGGATGCCCTGGATTTCTCCAGCTGCCGTGATGCAGTCTAGTGATGGGGTATTTGGGCCCTGGCCTCAGTCCTTGGTTCAGATCCCCGTTCAGCCACTTCCTTCCTATCTGTCCTTAGGCAGTAACTTCCTTGACCCTCAGTATTCTCATCTGTAAAATCAGGGAGATAATCTAGATCACAAGGTCGATGTAAGGATTAAATGGGAGAAATGAACCTTAATGTTAATCCCGATGGTGTCTGGTGAATGGTGTGGCTTAGTGAATGTGGGCTCCATTAGAGCAGTGTTTTCAAATCACGGTCACAGCTGTTCCAGATTTGTGAGGTCATTTTATTGGTTCGCAACAGCATTTTTTAAAGAAATAAAAAATAATGTATTACACATTGTAGAAAAATTATTTAATGAAACTTGGGGAGGGGGGTGAAGGTGTGTGTGCTGGGTTGCAACAGAAAAGTATTTCCTGTTGTGGGTTTTAATAAAAAGATGCGAAATCACTGGCGGAGAAGGAGAGTGATCTGACTGTCTAAGAGAAGAGCGTCTGCCTGTCTGCAGCTTCTCCAACTTTCTGCACCGACGATGGGCAGAGTAGGGGGACGGCCAGCGCTTGCTCTAGTCCTTGCAAGCAGATGCTTGGGTCTCTGCCTCCCTTGGAAGCCCTGGTCCTGGCACATTCATTGGGAGCATAGGTGGGTTTGTTTACAGATTGCAGCTCATGTGCCACCCAAGCAGGTGAGGCCCAAAGGCCCAAGCCACACACTCCCAGGCAGGGGTGGTGGTTTAGGCCTTTGCATCCTTACCAGGCATCAACCGTTCTCAGACAAGTGGGTGTTACTGCACCTCTGCAAACCTCCAGTTTAATGACTTTGCTTTCAGGACACCTTGAAATGCACACAAAACTCAAAATTAAATCCTACTGGGAAAAAGAAACCCTACTGGCTCCTGAACCTGAGGGTCCAGACACTCGGGCCTGTCTTAGGCATCAGGTTCATTTGGAATATTTCCTTCTCTCCAGACTCAGAGTTGACAGTCCTAGATGTCCTCTTAACTGCTGAGGAACTTCATCTGGTGGACAGGCCAGACTCCATGGAATATTCTCACGAGCTTGGTGAGGAGATTGAGCAGACTAAGTGCTCACCCAGGAACCCGCCACTGGAGTGGAAAATAGCAATTGTGTGGGCTCTTTGGTTTTGTATCCCTCTACAACCATTCCCCACCTTTGAGAGCAGCGCTGGAACAGGGGACTTGGGGTAGGACTGGAAATGCTTTGGGCAGAGACAAGATGCCAGTTTGTTCCTGGCTCTGATGTGACCAGCAGGATGAGCTCCGACCACTGTCACGGCCAAACCTCTCTTTTCCCATTTGTGCCAGTACTAACCGCCCCCCTCTCACAGCGGCTGCGAGGACCCACAGCTGTGTTCTGAGCGAACCCACTCAGTGTGAAGACAGCCAGTATGTCATTTCTGGGTGTCCTATCGTGGCCTGGTCTACCACACAGTGACGTCCCAGCTCCCCTGCAATCATGGTCAAAATGCCTCTCTCAACAGAAGCACATGATCACCCAGGAAGTGCAGGCAGGATGCCCAGAGCGCATCGCTGCCTTTGGCTGCGGCTGCTTCTGGTTAGTGGGCAGGCCTGGCAAGGAGCCAGCCCACACACCTGTGGCATCCAGTGCTCATTAAGAGTTGTGTCAACAAGGCCCATTTTCAGAAACAGCTTTTTTGTTCTGGTTTTGACAGTAACACCTACTCTTGGTGAAAACTTGGAATGTGTGGGAAGCCTACAGAAATAAATACAAATCACTTAGAATCCCATCCCCAAAACTCACCCCAGGGTCCACGATGATGTCAGTGCACCTTGCTTCTTCCCTTGTTACCACGTGGACGGGATTCCCCAAGCTCACATCAAACCTCACTAACTTCCAGGAGAGATGGAGAAGGCAGAGGGGCAAAGGCCTCTGTGGAGGGTGTGTGGGCCTAGGGAGCTGGCCTCGCTGTGCCTCCAATGTCTCTGGGCATCTCCCCTTACTCAACACCCTCTTTCTGTGGCCTGGCGGTTGAGTTGCAGCTGACACTCGGGCAGGTGAGTGGGCAACTTGGGAGAGGCAGCAAGGTGTGTGTACTGCATGAGCAGGCCTGACGCCAGCCTTTCCCTGCCCACAGTGACCCTGTGCGCCCTCCAGTTGCCTGCTGCATGTTGGCACCAGCTGTATACACATCTGCTTCCTCACCTCCCGTGTTATTCGTATCCTGCACTCTTCCCTGAACGCCGTCATTGTCTGTCACTCAAAGTTTGCTGCGCTTGCTGTGGAGGGTAGTGGCCCAGGATACTTAGGGAGGGGTCATCTTTTTTAGTGGTCTCAGAATGGATGGCCCAGCTCACGCCAGAGAGGCCTGGCCTGTGGCCACTTGGCAGCCTGGGGCCACGGCAGCTGGCCTTACTTAGCGAGATGGAGCGAACTCTTGCACTTGTAGGGGGAGAGGCGTGCAGGCCTGTGTGGTGGGTGGGACACACAGGGCGGCCACTGTGGAAGCCCACGCCACCCCAGCTGGATCCCATCTCACTCTGAGGGCCTCCAGCCCTGAGCTGGCCCTCAACCCCATCTCACCCACACCCTGGGCCTCAGTGTGCTGCCGTGCCTGGGCTGGGGCTGTGCTTGGCGGTGTACCATGCACACCTGTACCTGCACCACGGTGACCTCTCTGTCCCATTGTCCCTCCAGGGCATCGAGCGCCTCAAGCGAAAGCACCAGCCCAGGGAGCACACGGGCAGCTGGACATCAGTGAAAGAGACCTTCGGTGGGGACTTCTCCCTGAACTGGCTCAACCCCTTCTCCGGACTGTGTCACCCAGAGCCTCTCAGTGCCGGGGATGGGATGCGGCAGGTGTCAGACACTGACAGCACAGAAACAACGGAGGAGCCGCCAGAGGAGAGGAAGGCCGAGGACTCTGTGGGGGTGATAGGCGAGTGATGCTGCAGGGTCTGCCCGTGGCCCACGGGCACGACGCCCTGGCCCCACTGCCCCTCAGGCCTCTGTAATGCCTCCTCCCTATCCACATGCTGGGCCAGGCCTGGGCTGACAGAGGAGGATGAGAGGCCTCCTCAGTCACTCTGAGGAGAGTCTGCCTGGGGAGAGACTGGCGGGAGGCGCTCTTCAGGACCGGGGCCCCTCACGGTTCATGCAGCCATGCCCAGCAAAGGCAGCTCTGGGCAGGCAACCCAGGGGCAGGAAAGAACCAGCCTGTGGCTTTTCCCAGGTTGTCTGTCTTCTCTTGGGGACGTGGGGCCCTGGCTCCTGGCTTGTGAGAACTGAGGCCGTGATGCTGTGATGAAAGGACAGAGCAGGCCCAGCCTTGTTGACCTGGGGGGGCTCTGACATCAGGAGGGACCAGCCAGCTCCAGAAAGGACTTCCCCTGCTGCCTGCCTGGCTTAGAAGAAAGCATGGCTGGCACAGCCACCATCACAGGTCAGGCTGGGCTCGCTGTACACACATGCGGGTGTGGAACGTGCCCAGGTTGGAAACAAGCCTGCGTTATACAGTAGCCCCCAAAACCTAGACCTGCCCCATGGATACTAGCACCTTCCTGAGCTGGACAGCTTGGAGCTGTCCTCCTGCCGTGCAGTTAGAATCCACCCGCTCACAGGGGACAGGTGGGAAGGGACCTGCTGACAGCTCCCGGGGACTGCCTGCCTCCATGAGAACTCAATTACCTTTCTCTCCTGAACAGAGAACAATGACCCACATGGACAGAACTGACCAGAAATCTGGCCTGTGTGTTTAAGGCCACTTCTCCCAAGATAGTGCCCATCTTGTCTCTGAAAGGATAGACTGATGAAGCAGGAAGACAGACAGACACACACACTCTTCCAGGATGATCCTGGACCCTGGTCACCCCGGTTGAAGCCTGAGGGGTCTGTGACCACTATGAAGGCCTGAGCATTCCAGCGGTTGCTGAAGCAGCATCTCCCACACAGAGTCCAACAGAAGGATTCATGCCCCAGTTCCAGCCCCGTCCCCAGCCTCAGCCTGTTCTCTAGCCCCTGCCCAGCAGAGCCGGCAGCAGTATTGGCAGCAGGCTCAGGCACCGAGGCCGAGCCTGCCCCGGGAAGGTCTGTATGTCGGGTACCCGCTCCCAGCTTTCGGCAGAGGAGCATTGAGTCCTGGTCTGGGGGAGCTGTAGCCCCAGTTAATGGGGAAGAAGGTCCACATTTGGTGATGTAGCCCAGGACACTTTAAAAGGAAGGCTCTGGTAACCACGGGGAAGAAAGGAGGGTCAGGCAGTGGCCTAGTTCTCACACAGCAGCAGTGGGCATCCCAGAAAGAAACCCCCCGTCAAACACTGAAGATCCACCAGTCTCTGGGGTCACCTGCCCTGAGGAACCGATGTTCACAGAGTCACCTCTGTCCCAATCCCTGCTCAGAGCTTCTCGCCATGTCCCTGAGAGGAGTGGTGGGGACTCCAGCATTGACAGGAGCCAGAAGAGCCCAGGGCTCCCCACACCCAGGCTGTAGGCCTGTTTTCTTGGTTCCTATCAGCTTTAATATTCACTTATGACCCCTCAAGGAGCCCTGGCTGGCCCCCAAAGCCCACTGACTCTCAAACCAGGCAAGGCACTGCTGCTTACCCCTCTGGGAGGTGGCTGTCCACAGGTGGTGGCCTGTTTGTTGTCCTCGCCCAGAAGGCAGCCCTGGGCACCCGCATGGTGGACTGTGTACCAGAGAGACTCCACATGGCGGGGCCAGTCAGGGCCACCCCTGGAGTCCCCAAGGAGGCAGCCTGTTAGAGTCAGGGAAGAGGGGCCACTGATCACTGTGTGCTGGCACTGTCTTCCTCAGGGCCACCCTGGCCTGTAGGTGAGGTCCCACCGGCTCCAAAGCCAGTTCCATTCATCACATTGGTTGGTGAGGAGGCATTGTGCCTGGGCCTCCGTCCTTGTGAGCCCGTCTCCACGCGAGACCTCAGCCACACCAGGCCACCTGGGGAGGGGCTGGACCGGGCCCAGCCCAGGGCTGTGGCTAATACCTGGCCAGCCCGGAGCCTCATGTCCCATGCTGGTGACACGGTCACCTTCTCTCTATGCAGCTGTTGACAGCATAACAATTAGCCTCAAACTGACAGCACCGCAACTGATGTCAAGACAAAATGAAGGCCCACAGGGAGGGAGGCTGGCACAAACTTCTGTATCTTTCTCTGAATGAAAAGCTCTTTGCTCACCTTCAATGCCTGGAGTCTTCCTTTTTCAGTAGGAGATCCAAGTGCAGACCCCTGGGCAGTGTCCTTCCTCTCAGGTCACTTAAGGGCACCTCTAAAAAATTTTTTTCTCCCATTTTTTCCCATTTCCCATGTGGGAAACAAGTGACTTGCCTGCAGGCACCAAGCTGCTCATGGAGAGTCACCAGCAAAACCCTTTCCTTTGGGTCTTCTCCTCGGTGGTATTTCCAGCAGAAGGAAAAGTACACCTTTCATTGAATGAGCATTTATTGAACACCTACTGTATGCCAAGGAGATGGGCATCTGGGGCAAGAGCCTGGCCCAAGATTGACAGTTTCTGACATCAGAGTTTTTATGTCAGCCCGGTGCCCCTGAATGTCATGCAAATTACACACAAAATAACCCTCATTCAGCCCACACACCTGCCTCTGCCAGAGTGTGTCCACTGTGGTGAGAGCCTTTGAGAGAGGCCTGTGCCTCCTAAAGAAGGCCCAGGATAAAGCTTGACCCCTGGGAAAACGAGCCCTTGACCTGGGAAGTTCAGTGGATCAGATGGCTTCCTAAGAGCCACATGATCCCCAGGATAAGATACTTTAAGAATCTTCTTCACAGAAAGAAAAAAGCGACCCAGGAGACCACACCGTCACCTGAAGCACTCAGAGTTTAATTACAATCATATTGATCATTTGAACAAATCTCTAGAGAGCCGAGCAAGGAGCGGCTTCAGTTCACAGAAGAGCTTTCAGTCGGCACTAGGGGGAGCCTCCTCCAGGGATGACGACTCCCCCAGTGAACAGACCCCTGATCAAAGGCAGGGGTCACTGCCGGCTGCAGGGTCTCCCCACTCCGGACCTGCCTGAGGCTTCTGAGAAGGAAACAGCCTCCACCCTGGACAACCGCTGAGACAGCCTATCACCAGGCTAGCCACCTCGGGGTGGGGTCCCATGCAGCCTGCTGGCTCTGCTCCCAGGCTGGCCCTTGGTGCCTGCTGGGGCCACTAGCACCAGGGACGAGGTGGTGGGCAAGGCAGGAGGCTTCAAGGGGGTGCCCCAAAGATCAGGAAGGGCTCCCCTTATTTAAAACCCTTCTTGAGCCAGTTGAAGTAAAAAATCCCCTTGGTTGACCTGACCCCTCTGAGCCCTGAGGTGGAGGTGCACAGGACCTCAAAGGCAGCGTTATTCCTGGGGAGTGGGGGTAGGGGGCAGAGGGATGCTGGAGTAAAATTGTACTTCTTTGGCCATGAGAGGGCTGGCATGGAGGAAAGGGAGTAATTGAAGCAACAGGCCCAGCAAATTCACAAACTGGCCTAGGGCCACAGCTGAGGGGTTCCCAAAGGAAGGCCTTCCAGCAGAGGGAAGCACATATCTGGGGAGTGTCCACGGGGCACCAGGTGGCTGTCCTCATATTTCCTGAGGGTTGGCCACTCTGAGCAGGGCAAGGGCCTGGGATGGGCCTGCTGCTATACGGGAGAGGGGTGTTCTCTAATCATCCTGAGCACTGCCTGGAGGAGGTGGGATGTTTCAGGGCTCAGAAGGTAAGAATGAAATGTCTGGATGGAACCAATGTAGAAGAGGCTGAAGATCCTTGGAGAAGGTTCCAGGGCTGTATGCCAGAGCAGAAGGTGGGTTGGGGTACCCTCACCAGAAGAGGAGTGTCCTTTCATCATCTCCCTGTAAGATTCATGATTTTAACTTATCCATAGCATCAGTCATAGGTCAGAGGGGCTGGTGGGTCACCCACCACTACCAAGGGGCTGAGGATTCTTAAACGTGGGGAACTGGAAGTTCTTATTAAGCTGCAGGTACCGTGAAGGCTCACCTAGCCCTGTGGAAGCACAAGGGCCATGGAGTTGGGCTTAAGGTGCCACGTGGCAAGTCGTCAGAAGTAGAAAGTCAAAAACAAAACAACCTCGAAAAGATGGCAGCATGAGAGGTGAGACAGACACCTCTTCCTAAAACCACATATAATATAAAATAACATGGATCACTCATTGAAAGCATTACTAAGTGGGGTGGGAAAGAATCTTTCACTCTATCTTTTCCATCTTTAGAATTTCGTACTGTATGCAAGTATTACTTATTCTAAAACTTAAAATGTTTTAAATTCACTTGACCAAAAACTAAAAAAAAAAAAAAGCTTAATCCATCACTTCTCCAAAAATACTTGTTTGGTAAGGCAAGGTGCCATGTTTCTTCAGAATGCAACTGGCCTGAAGAATAAGCTAACCAAGGACCCCCAGGGGTCTTCAGGGCCCCAGCCTCCTGCTGAGGCCATGCTCCAGTCAGGAGCTGTCTCTGGCCTGCAGGTAGTTCACCTCGACAGAGCACACTCTGGGCACTGGAGAAAACACATACACCCGAGAGACAGTGCTTGCCCTGGATCTACAACTTCCACAATTATGAACTCTTTGATGATTGACTCATCGTCGGATCAGGCTGCCAGTGTAGGTACTGTAGTCCAAGGACAGAGCCACTTCTGATGCTGCTAAAGAGCCAGAGAGGAGGGGTGTGATCATTTACTATAGCCCCACAATATGAATTTTCATTACTAGACACAGAGTTAGACTAAATTTGGTTAGCTAAATGGATGGATGGGTGGATGGATGGGAAATGGGTAACTTTAGTCAAGTCTCTTTCTCTATTTAGAGGAGAAGAAGTTGGGCTCAAGAAGGCATAATAATTGTCTGGGTTCTCTAGACTTCCAAGCTGAGTCCATGGCAGACATCACCAGCTGTTGCCAGGACTTCCTGCTCATTCTCCACGCTATGCCCTGGGTACCCATAGCCCACTGATAAGAGTGAGTGTGGGTAAAATTGTAATATTACAGAATCTCTCACCTGGCTTTAGTGCATTTCCATATCAACAGGTGTTCCTAAGGGGTGGAGAGAAGTTCATCTCCATATCAGTGGGTAATTACCTGGGCAACCAAGGGCTTCTCTGAACCTGAGAGGTTGGGGGAAGGTTTATTGCTTGCTTCTGCCACAGCAGGAAAGAGATGCCTCTGGACCACAATTTGTAAGCAATAAATGGGTTTTAAACTTTATTTCTCCCTTTGACTGATTTCAGTTTTAGAGATATTTTGCGCTGAGATTTCCTCTCTCTGGAGTTATATCTGGCGTACTCGGCAGGACCTCTGAGCCTGAAATCTGTCAAAATGGTTGCAACCTTTGGTCGGGCAGCCCCTAGAGATGATGGGGAGATGCCTGGAACCGCCCCCTGTGGATAGTGGGGAGGCCCCAGTGGGTGCAGCTGCAGAGGGTGTAGCTTTACCTGGGAGCCTCTATCCATGGGGTTTCCAAGTTGGGAACCCCTAGTGGGGAGTTGGTCTAGAGTAAAGCACCTCCTAGAGGGGTGGGGCCTTCCCCAGAATGGGGGATGGGTGGAAACACCGGAAGCTGCAGAATTAGCCCCCTGTGAGTTGGAAGACTGCTTAGAGGGCCTGAGTGGTCATGTAGCAGCTGGGATTGTGGGTGTCTTTTCATCGAGATAGTGGAAAATGTTATAAAGGAGAAAGAGAGGGTTATTGAGGGACTCAGGTGGGAGAGGGACACACTTCAGCATTGCTTGGAGGAGCTGGGCGATAACCTATTGGGTGCTGTTAAAGAAGAGAGATGGTTGCTGAAAAGGCAGCTCACACTCCTAGAAGGCTCCTTATCAGGGTGAGGGGGGAGGCGGCAGGAGAAGCCCCATTGCAGGAAGCCCGCGGGGGGGATGGGGGAGGAGGCAGCGGGGCCATGGGCGGATCTGCTGCTGAGGCCACTGCCTGAGGTACCATACGTCTACTACTGTTTTGAAGGCCTGCCCAGCTGTAATGAAGAAAATAAAGATGAAACAACCATGGGCCCCTCAGGGGGAGGAGCAGCCCCCTCCCCAAGTTGGGGAGCACTCCATGCTCCGCCCCTATACCCAGGATGAGCTGGTGGACATGAGCGTCCCGAATAGGCAGAGGCCATTGGAATCTCTGCCTACATGGCTTTTACATCTCTGGGATATGCGGGGGGGACATAACATTGTTGTGTCGGGTACTGAGATGAGTAGAATGGCTTCCCTGAAGACTCACCCTTCTCTCTGGCAGTGGTTTCAAAATGCCTGTCACGCCTCAGGGACTCAGACACTCCTGGAATGGCTGACAGCTGCCATAGGGATAGTTTGATCTAATCAGGGTGATTTACCATATTTTCCCAGTAGTTGGAAAACGCACGCAGAGCTCCCAACAGGTATTGCGGGAATTGGGTATGAAAAACATCATCTATGACTTGGACACCCGGGGCCCTGATGAGGACATGTTCACTGTAGGAATGAGAAGCTTGGTGCTGCACACAGCTCCCACATCTCTCTTTGGGTCCCTAGTGAACACTCGTGGCCCCCACCTAGGGCAACCCGTAAGGGAGGCTACTCGTACTTTAGCAGATCTGGGGCAGGTTGAAACAATAAGCGCACAGAGGGAAGCACAGGCCACAACTGAGAGGAGAGGTGCAAAAGGCCCTGTGAAGGTCTCCAAGACCCAGATGTGATAAAGGCCCGGAGTAGTGAAAGAAAAACTTGATGGGCAGCCCAGTAGAATATTGTTAGAACTGTGGCACCAATTAAAGCCAGGGCAGCAGTTCCAGCCGCTGAGGTCCAGGACACAGAAACCAGAGTCAAGGCCTCATGCCTGGCCTGTGTCCCTGCAGAACTTCATGAGAGACAGTACTCAGGATTCGTCTGAGCCCTCAGCCCCACAGGAGGACGATTGGGCATTGTGGTTCAACTGGGGGTGGGGATCAAAGTCCCCACCTTGGGGGACACGGTGGGGACCAGAGGCCACATGTAGAATTAGCAATTCATTGGTCCCCTGTGAATGTACAATGTGTCCTGGTGCTGGTGGACACAGGAGCTGAGTGTTCTCTGATTCATGGCAACCCTGAGCGTTTGCCTGGGACACCTCCTGAGATAGATGGCTATGGGGGTAAGGCAATTAGAGTGAAGAAACCCCAAATCTCATTGGGGATAGGGCAT